GCCGCCAATTTTCTGGCTAGCGTTAACTTAAGGAAATAAAAGTACTGGCTTGGAAAGGATTTATGTGACGCAGGTACAGGAGGAAAAGCAGAAGGACTTCCACTCGACGCTCTGTCTTGGCTTGGCTGCAGTAGGTGGAAGATGACTCTTTGGCTATTTGAAGGCATTTATTTCTGTTTTGATATGAGGTCAGTGTTGGAACCAGGCCAGCACGGAGTTCTTATAGTTTAAAATCGATGGTCTTACGGATCAAAAGGGAGAGGGCAGATTAAATGAAAATGTTGCCCTGAATGCAGGTTTTATTGTTTGATTTTATTGTGATTTCCGTTTTTACTGGCATTTTCTCATGAAAACAAAAGCTAACAAGTGAGGATTTTGCAGATGGTTACGTGAGCAGCTAGCGAGTGGACAGCTCCCTTGTGTGGGAAAAATTCTAATGAGGATTCTTGGGTTCGTGCTAAGTTTAATATGGTTCTTTACGTGAGATTCATCGGCATGAACTCAGAGTAATAATGGTCAAAGAATGTCTCGCTCACGTAGAACAGATACTTCTGTGTTAGGGAAAACGTTTGAAAACGTTTTGTCCCGTTTAAGACTCATAGAAACTGTTTCAGGTGGCACATGGTTCCTTTGGTGACCGCTTCACATGAGGAGATCCGGTTGGAATGAGACCTGAAACCTCTTCTTTTCTCGGCTATTATTTGTTTTAATGGTTCTGAATCTTTTTAAAAATAAACAGGCTGTTTTATGTCCCCGACATTATTTTTCTAATCTTGTTTGGTAAATGTAGTTGTGTGTCACTTCGTAGCAGGGGTGCATGGTGGGAAACACAGTGCCGTCGTCCTGCACCTCATGGGGTACACTTACACACCGGGTGGTGGCCCCTGCAGACCTAGGCTAGGAGGTACATAACCTTCGGAATCGTACGGGGCCACCGTTGTGCATGTGACTGTCATTGACAGACATCTTTGTGATGCACATGACAACATGTGACTTCCTAAAAATATTCTTTTTATTTAACTTTATTTGTTTATTTATTTACATTTGACCAGAGAGGGACAGAGTGAGAGAGAGAGAGGGAGAGGGAAAGTGAGAAAAAAAGCCGCCAGGTCCAGGACTTGACTCATGGTCAGCCGTGTGGGAGTCCAGTGCCTCTAACCACCACGCCACCTGTTGGCACCCGTGTGATCTTAATTTATACACTTCTTTGCTTGAATTTTGACAGCAGAGTGTCAGCAAAAATACTTTGTTTTAATGAGTATTGAAGACTCTTCTTTGATATTAAAATCCACATTAACATCATGCAGTATATACTGCAACTTCGCTACGAGGCGTTTTATTTTCTAATACATTGGATCATCAAACAGTTTAGCTGATTACGGATAATACAGATTATACATACCTACAGACAGTAATTTAACTTCGATTAAGCCGATATGGTGTACACTAAAACTCAAGAGACCGAGAGGCAAGAAATTCCGTGTGGTTGTTATGTAAATAAATTTCTAGAATCAAGCCGTAGTTCATTACCAATAAAAGAAAAGTTGACGGTGTCATCTGAAATTTGGAGGTTTACTTTTTCACTGAATCTCCATGATAGCATTCCTGGTTAATATGTAAATTCTCTATCAGTAAAACAAAACATACATCATGCTTTTCCACTTTTAATTGTGGACGTCACACCTTCAGACACTTTGGTTCACTGCGTTGGTTAATTTTCTGACTCATGGGATTTGCAAGGAGATCCACTTGTGGCCTGAGGATGGGCTAGTTCCTAAGTTTGCTTTAGAAGCCAGGTCTACAGTGCAGGGACTGTAGCTGCTTTTATTGATTGCAAAATAGTTGCTGGATTGGGTCAAGTGGAGAGAAAGATTATCTACCTTTATGTAGTGCCTTTTTTTTTTTTTCCCCCAAGCAGAGGTTCCTCCATGCTGTGACCCATTGGGAAGTGGCGATTAGTTTTACATTGCCTGTGTACTTGCCCTGCTTAATTTAGATGTTTGGTGTGCTCGTTAAGAGGATTGCTGTGGTTTGGGGATTGTTTGGTGTCAAATATTTGATTGTGGCTTTAGAGTAAATCTGCCCGTTTATATTTCAATGGAAAATGTGGTTACTATCTTCTGAAAGAGAAGTTAGGGCACAATTTTAGTTTGGTTTATTTTTGGCCAGAGTTAACAGTGCTTTTGTGGTTGGTTTCTAAAAGTTCTATGCTGCCTTCCTGTGTGTCCTAATGACCGTAATGAATTAATTTAGAAAAATCTAGTAAATTCAAGCTGTCTGCCTAATAGGAGTCAGAGTTCTTTTCTTTTTCTTTCTTTTTTTTTTTTTTTTAAAGAGAGATTTTTGCTATAGGGCACTTGCTAGAGAGACAGAGAGAGAGAAAGAGGAACTGAAAGTGGGAAAACCCCCCTGGGGGATGACTACATCGCAGTCCCTCCTCTTCCATTCTCTTCTTGGGATCTTGAGCACACCCATGCACCCCGTGTGATTTTCAAGTGGCTGGGTCCGGGACTCAAAGCGTGGTTGGCCACGTGAGAGTCCAGTGCCTGAACCACAACGCCACCTGCTGGTCCTAGACAGTTTATTATTGCATCGTGTCTTTTGCTCTAAATCTGAGTAGTTCTAGGGCATTTCTGGGATGATCCAGGTGGCTTGCTCCGTCTCTGAGATACTAGAACCTCAGTGCAGTAGCCCCGGCCAGTGTGCACGATTGCAGCGTCAGCCAACCGTGGGTTCAGCGTTACTTGTTCCTGAGGTCTGTGCGGTGCGCTCAGGCCCGTAGGTGCTTCCTCCTCTTATCCTCACTTTCTTCACGACACAGGATAACTAGTGACGTGGTGTTTTCATCGTTAGGTGTTGGAAGTAATTAAATAATTAGCAGTGTGCAGAGGCTGGGCACATGTCGTGTAGTACTTGCCATTTCATAGAAGAGACGTCCGTATCTGTGGATTTTGCCCTGTGTTGTGGGGGGAGGGCCTGAGAACCCATTCTCTTACAGTATTGAGGGACGACTGTACTGTATGTTAGCTTTGTCTAGAAGGTGAAGGAGATCCCAAAGACAGCATTAGACGTGCCCTCCCATATTTACGTAGCAGACTGAATCTGTTCTTGATTTATTGGCAGAAATAGGAAATTAATAACTCACTAGGTAGTGGGAAGTGAAAATAAGTAGTACGTGAAAACTGCTACGTACTTATGGAATATGAATCGCAGATGGTATTCCAAATCCATATAATGGACTGAGCGTGTAAATTATTGTCAGGGTTAAATAGCCTCTATAAAACATGTGAATATAGGTGTTACAAAGCATTTAATCAAGCTTTGTTAAAATTATCATATGGTAGTTAACTAGAACTTTTTGGCCATCCTCAGGTTACATATGGGCCCGATCCAGGACTCGAACTGTGGTCAACTATGTGGGAGTCCCGCGACGTAACCATTACACCATGTGCCGGCCCTGTAAATTCATCCTTTTAAAGTGTGCAATTCAGCGATTTTCCAGCTTATTACAAAGTCGTTCAACCGTCACTGCTGTTACTTCCAAAATATTTTCATCACTCCCCCAAGAAAATCCTATACACGTTAACAGTTGTTTTCCATTATTCTCTTCGCTCACCCCTTAGCAACCAGTCATCAAGTTTTTGTTTCTGTGGATTTGTCTGTTTTGGACACCTCGCTTAAATTAGAATCATACAAGGTGTGGCCTTTTGTGTCTGGCTTCTTTCTCTTAGCATCGTGGAATCATTTACAGTGCTAGTCACAGAACTGGGTAGGGACAGGGAGGTTGACCATGTCACAGGAAGGAAGGAAGGTGAAGGAAGAGATCAGATGGAATTAGAGTCAGTAGACCTTGAGCATCCAAACGTGCAGCCCTGTGCTGATCTACTGGGTGATAAAAGTAGACCTTCTGGAAGAGTTGTTGGAGGTTCATGGCTTTGTTGATGGTTACGACTTTGAGTAGAAAGGCTAGTTATCTCCTTTTGATGGACAGAACTACTCAGTGAACTCTCTGAAAAGGAGTTGGAAAGTGGATTAATCTACTTTTGGCTGGTATGCTTTCAACTTTTCTTTCTTTCCCTTATAATTCTGTTTTAGTCTTATTCAACTATTTGTTGATGTTAACTTGACCAGAGAGGGATAGAGTGAGAGAAAGAAAGAGATGGAAAGTGAGAAAGCACCAGGTCTGGGACTCGAACCACGGCTGGCCATGTGGGAGTCAAGTGCCCTTAATCACCATGCCACCTGCTGACCCCTATCCACTTTTAGTCTTTTAGAGTGCAGTTCTCATTTCCGCTGCGTCTGTTTCTTGGGTTAGGGAGAGCTCCTGTCTCAAGGTGCCTGCCTTGTCCTTGTCCTGGTTTTTTTTAATGTGCCATAAAGCAACCGAGTTGACTTTGGAGAACTTTATAGACGAGAGAATAGGCTTCTCAATTTCCTTCATTCCTTAGTGTTTAATGTTTAAGGCGAGGGTAATTGGCTGGACAG